ACTTGGAATCGCACTTGGACAATGATGCCGCATCTGAAGTTGTCCGCTGTTGCTGGTGCGGCTGCTGGTTCTGCAGTGATTTGATTTGGTGCCACTTGCCAGCCGATCTCGTTGCTATATAGCTATATAGTTGGCCAGAAGTCGTTGTTGCTGCTGGCGGAGCTGGGGCAGCGTTACAGTTCGGAAAATCGGTCAATGGAAACGGGCTTGTAGGCAGGTGCAATCGCTTCAAGAGCCACAAAATAGACCAAACAGACGGGAGAGATTGGAGCTGGAGGCATGTCGCTTAAGGTGAGTAAATGCTCAAGTATTGACCTATATAACACTTAATTGACTCAACCGGATCGAGTTTGACGGCTCTTTTAATGGGGAAAACCAAATAAAAGTGCATTTTATATGTAGTATACTTTAAAAGCTTTGGCAGCCACGACTATGATTTAGAGACACTAAGAACTTTATAATACTCATATCCATTTATTGAGAAAATTGAAAGAGTTCAATGGTTTGAAATCAGATCTTTATGCCCAGATTATGCCTGAAGCTTTAAAAGTGTTTCTCACCTGCTGCTACTCACAAATATGCATATCTTGGTCGCCGTCATCAGGAACGTGATTATCACGATGGCATCACCGTCTTCATTGTCATTATGTCACTTCAAAGTGCAGCAGCATTTGCATTGTTCCCCTCGCAACTTGAGTCACGTCATTATCATGCGAGGGTTTTCACTTGTCGTTGCCTTTCAACAGGTGCTTAAGACCACTTCATCAATGGCAGAAACCTGGCTAAAAGCAAACACAAGCACACACGCGTGCACATCTGGGCCACTTAATTCGCTTCATTAACGCAATGTTGACATTTCTACCACATTTAGCTGGAAACAATATTCAATGCATTTCCTCCTTGAGCTCAAATGCTCACGGGCGCAACTTTTCTCGGGAAATTAACAAGCCAGTTTTTAAAAACTTAAATGCATCATATTTAAACTTGGACACATATTACTCATACCACCCGTTAGCCGCCCTCTGCATTTCATTGTTTAACCTGCCCATCTGAGGGTTAGGTTTCATTTTGGAAAAATGCATTCAATGTGGCACGACATCCGCTGCGAAATAGCCTTTTTTTCACTCACTGCTCTGACCCTAATTACTGCGAACAGGAAGAGTAATTTCCCCACGTGGCGCCGACTGGGGAAGCTATGAAGTGGGCACCGGGTGGGAACTTCGGCCAGGAAGTCCGGGGCACGGGCATCACTTCCCCGAATATCTATCTATTTCGACAGCTGCTGCAGGGCAAGTTGATAATTGATTTGATTCCGTTTCCGATTTCGCTTTCGATACGGTGGCAACAGAAGGAGACGCCCTCGGATGTGCAACTGCACATGGCAGCCATGAGGGGAGATGAGGTGGCCCTTCTTCGAGTTCTGGACAGCGGCAAAGTGCACGTCGACTGCAAGGACGAGGTGAGTTATAAAAAGCATTTAAACCAGCCTAAACAGATTACATGACTTTGGTTATACAAACTCGGTTAAAAGCACTTCAGTTTTGTACATGCGATCGGTAATGCATGGCACATGCGACTGTAAAGTGCTGTCAGTGGAGTATTACGAAATCGTAGCCAAAAACAAAATATTTTTTAAGGCCTTTACCAGGTAAACATCAGTAAACACGTCGTTGTTCAGTTAGTACGCACCAATTAGCAAAGAAAACGAAAAACGAGGCAATCTTACAAAAGCCATCATCTTTGAGTTTTAAAAAGTAAACAGACGGCGTTTCAATACTCTAGCAATGAAAGCGTATTTAAACATGGAGAAAATACAGTAATTAGAGTAAATTAAAGTTCCTTAATATTCTATTTTAAAGATTGTGATAGTTCAACCTGTTATTTTGGACACTTTGGCCTCTTTTTGTAGTGCTTTTTGTTAGTGTATGAAAATTGAAATTAAATTTCGCTGGCCACTCAGCGAAGCATGGACTCAAGTCCAACTGAAAGGAAAGTGGGCAGCGGGGGCAGTGTGCCATTGTATTTCTATATATATATATATTTCTATATATACCATAATGCCAGTTGGTCTGCAAGAGTCCGCGGATGGGGTGGGCACTACGTGACTCCCCCATTTGGAGGCAGACCGAGTGCATCGAGAGCGATTTGCAAGTTGTGGCGCGGTTTTCCCCTGCGACATGCCTCAATTTCCCTGTTGTTTTTCCTCTGTTTGGTTTTTGACGAGTCCGAGCCACGGACTTGCATGCAAATCCGCACGAGGCGATTAAGCGTTGACTTGGTGAAACTAATCGCAATTTGCTATTCAAATCATTTGATGGCCAATTAGGCAATTAAATAATTTATCGCTTCAAAGTTGAAGCAAACGTAAGTTGCGAATTTGTGATGTCAGACTAGTTGTAGCTTATACGTAATTTGATTGGGAATTTGTTTTATCTGTATTAATTTTTAATCTATATTAATATTTAATTTTTAATTTTAATAATTAATATTTCAATGGCTTTGATGGTTCATCATTTTTTTTTTATTCAATTTTTGGTACCTATTTAGACAAATTTTGACGTTTTATACGGTTTTTTTGTCATAAGATGGCCTAAAAGAGTCACAACGATAAAATAATCACTGATTTTTAAAGCCAATGATCTAAACTAACTTCCCCTATCACATTTTTGTTGATATCTGAAAATCGAATTTTGGTCATTTTTTTCATTTTTTGTAAGGGGTTACATCATGATTTTTTGCGAAAAATGGCACAAATTTAACATTTGCAACTGTGAACGCCACTGGAAAGAGAATTTTATTACGAGTACAACGAGGTATGACATTCCATATTTGGAGAAATATTTTGATTGTTGTTGAGAAAAAACGTCTTATTTTTAAAAGGAAAATCAGAATGCGAATTTATGTTAAAAAAAACCTTTTTTAAACGTTTTTTCGCTATTAAGTGCCTAAAAAGAGTCACACAGATACAAGAATGGCTGTTTTTCTAGGGCTAATGACCTAAACCAATTATCCCAATCATTTTTTAGTTATGTGCAGAAGGGAAATCTTGAATAGAACCTTTGCTTGAATAGAATATACTTATGTATCTGTGGGTTAAGTGTATATCAGCCAAGACATATCTTTATAAGCATGGTACTATTATTTTGAAACCTCTATAGAATACATTCATATTGATCTTATTTCCAGGATGGAACCACCCCACTTATTTTGGCTGCTGCCGGAGGACACACTTACTGCGTGATGGAGCTGCTCGACCAGGGCGCCGATCCGAACTCGCGTCGTCTGACGGGCACCACGCCCCTTTTCTTCGCCGCCCAAGGCGGTCACCTGGACGTGGTGAAGATCCTGATAAAGGCGGGCGCCAGCGTGGACACGCCCTCCGCGGATGGCGGCACGCCCCTTTTTGTGGCCTGCCAGGGAGGCCATGTGAAGATCGTTCGCGAGCTGCTGGACTGCGGCGCGAATGTGAATGCGCACATGAAGGTGGGTAGTCCGAGATCTTGACGAGAAACAATCTAACACGCAACTATTTCGCTGCAGGATCGCGCCACGCCGGTCTTTATATCCGCCCAGAATGGCCATCGCACAGTTCTGTCGCTGCTGATTCAGGCCGGTGCCGAGATCGATATCAAGCGGATAGACGGCGCCACGCCCCTGTGGATAGCCGCCCAGATGGGCCAGGATCACATCTGCAAGGTGCTGCTCCAGAACGGCGCCAATGTGGATACCGTGCGCTGTGACGGCGCCACGCCCCTCTTCAAGGCGGCCCACAAGGGCCACGCCGCCGTCATCACCGTGCTGCTCAAATACCGCCCCAATCTCGGCCAGCTGCCCAATGGGGAGTCCGCACTGCACGCCGCCGCCATGTTTGGCCACATGACCGTCTGCAAGCAGCTGGTGGCCGCCGGCAGCGATGTCCTGCTGAAGAACCAGGACGGTCTGACGGCCCTGCAGTTGGCGCACCAGCAAAAGTACACCTCCATCTGTGATTATCTCCAGGAACGCATCCGGACGATGGTGGCGCGCAGCGCCAAGGCAATGGCCACGTCCGGAGTGTCGTCCACGGTCAAGACGCTGTCGGCGTAAGGGGATATAGGCATTTGAGAGACCACGCCTCCAATGTACCTTTATGCACAATACCCTTATGTTCCAGAAAAGCAAGAGGATGCTAGAGAGAATTGGGGGATTCTGATTGTATGGAATCCACACCAGCATTTGGAGTCGAATTGGAAGCCAGGTGAATGCGGGCCATGCTATATTCGAAGTACCCCGACTTGAATTGCTCAGTGAGACACTCACTTCCGCACTAAAATTAACCAAAAGATGGAAAAACCAATAGTAAGAACACGTCCAAAATCAACTTAATGGCCTCCCCAAAGGAAACCAAACTATTTATTAGATAAGCCGTATCATTCATATTAAACCACTTGGAGCTTGTATTTTGAATTTAACACTAACCATAACAATAACATAACGTTAAAGATAACAATTACTATAAAAATGTTAACATGGACCCGAAACGAGAACGTTACACTCTCCCCTGTACATAACCATATATATATAAATATATATATCTATATTTAAATGAACCTAATGCTACTTATAGACCTACTCTACCCTAAGCAATTGTTGACGAGTGCTTTAAGTTTAAACGCCTTTTTGTCCTTAAATTAGCAATTAGTTACCAGTGATGGTCTTCTGCTTGTTTCTTTGTAAAGTAGGTACGAGAATTAATTAATTTCTTACTTTATTAATACTTAAGTATAGTCCACAATTTTGCAAGTTTAATAAATTGACACACGATCAGTGGAGAGTTTTATTTTTAACACAAAATCTTCAAGCACTTACATCTTTTCAGGTTTTGTATCTTTTAACTTGGGTGCTTCAGGGTAAACCACTTTTTGTTGGCAAGTGTAAGTCACTTGAAAGTTTACAACTTGGCTATAAAGCTTTCGATGTGAGTACAGCTTTTCAGTTAGTAAAACTATTGAAATTACTAATTTAAAACTTGGATTCTGTTTTATTACTCGTATAATGTTAAAAGAGAAGAAGGAAATGCAGCGTAATCCTCTAGTAGGCGTAGTCAGCTGGAACTTCTTGCTCGGCATCAATAGGTTGTGCTTCTGGCACCTTCTCTTCGGCGGGATTATACTTAGCTGGAAGCGATTCCACCATCTGTTTTCGCCCAAAAGTCCTTAATCTATAGATCATATACTCGAAACAGTGGATATAGTGATGCTGAACGTAATGAAACGAGACGGCATAGTTGGACCAAGCGAAAATTCCCTGGAATTAGGACAAATATTATCGAGATCATAATCCTAAGACCACATACATCTTGTGTCCTGTAGGCGAGGAACTTCCAGAACCAGAAATTGGGGTCATAGTGCAGAAACAGATTGGATCTGGCCTGCGGTTCGATGAGGTACATGCGTCTGCGTCCCTTGGAGTCGTACGTGTTGCCCGCCAGCACATTCACATTTTCGAGGCACTCCCTCAGCTTGCCTGCGGTGGGTCCCGCATCCTTTGGCTCGCACTTGGAAGGATTGGGCAGGGCCAACTCGACCAAGCGACGCAGTGCAGCACGAGTCATCGCAGTGCCCGGGGAGCCGAAGTAGATGGCCAACTGTGGACCGTAGGGATAGACCATGTATCGCAGGTTCTCCATTATCACGTAGGTCTCGTCGTCGGCCTCCAGGAACCAATCGGCATCGTTCAGGTGGTGCTCATGGAGGTACTTCAGGGCCATCTTCGTTTTTAGCCACGATTCCCGGTAGTTGGGACTAACGGGCAGGGCCACAGTTCCGGATAGATTGGCATCAGTGCGGCTGCTGAAGAAGATCAGCTTGTTGCACCTCCTGCCCCAAGTTTCCAAGACGGCTTTGGCCTGAGTCTTGTGATTAGTGGGCTTGGTGTACACAAAGCACAAGACTCGCACCTCATCGGTGAAATCGATGGCCAGTAAAGTCGATCTTTCCGTGCCAGTCCTATGAGATTTGAGATCCATTATAGGCCGCAGAAGAACCTGGGTGATAAGATAGCCAATCCCGATGCCCAGGAGCAGGAAAAGCACTGGGCGAGATGATGAAGGCGACGTTGTATTCGCCTGGTTATGATTGCTCCGATCCAGAAAACAACACTCCTTCCCGTCCATTTTCGCCATTACTGCGCTCTTTTTCTGCGTCCATATAATATATATATAGTTTTCGTCGTCACATCATTTCGATACGCTCAGCTCTTAAAAATGCACAGCAAGTAATCTCTTTAGCATAAATAAGTTTAAATACGTATTTCATTAGAGCTTCCCTTACTTCCCAACTTACAAAAAATATTCAGGGCTACCGTAATAAAATTGTATAATAGTACAATAATAGTACCGTGTCTGCAGTAATTTATAAGATTTGATAAGTTAATTACAAAAAAATTAAAAAAAAATAAATTTTGAAATTTGAATGCAGATTTTTAGAGAATTGGGCCAGAAACATTTAGAGGTATGCCACTTCAAAGTCCGATTAAGATGAGTTTAGTTATGGAGATTATGACTTCAGCCTTGTGGCATTTCTTGATTTTTTTGAATTTCTACAACATCATATCATTAGTAAAATTAAAAAAATCAAGGTAGAATGCTATAGTCGAGTTCCGCAACTACCAGATACCGCTTACTCCCCGACTCACCTAGTGGTAGTGCTAATGAGAATTTCCGAGATCGGAAACGTTTCCATCTGCCTGTTACATACTTTTCAACGAATCTAGTATACCCTTTTACTCAACGAGTAACGGGTATAATACATGCATATTGAAACATATGTAAGTTTCAATTTATTTCCGTACTTACTTTTAAAAGCACTTTTTTGAATCGAGCCGTTTGTATTGCACTTATTGAACTCTGATAACGAAGAGCTTCTTCTTAACGAATATTCTTTCTTCTCAGAACATGATTTATATTGTAAATCGCGTTCAGTCGCTTTGCTGGCAATGTGGCGAGAAGTTATAATAATCAGCTCCTGTTTCTGGACGCTTGCTGAGGCGGGAGCGCCATGTGGGCTCCAGATGATGTGCGTGCCCAAAGGACTCTGCAAGTCGGACACCTCGAATCAAAGTGCTATGGCTTGGCAGATATTGTGCCAGAAATCGGAAAGCTGCTGTCACACTTCCCAACTGGTAAGTACTCACTGGTGAACTGCTTTGGATTGCCAGAGGTATAATATGCAAATTGCAGTTACTTATCGGCTCTCCGAGTAACTGCGGCATAAGTAATCCCAATGGCCTGGACGCCCATGCAGATGTGGCCGCTGATCAGGCGAAACCCAATCAGTTCCCTTGGACCGTAGCTCTGATGCAAGACAGGGTCACCTTTTTTGGCGCTGGAACTCTGGTCACCGAAAACGTAGTGATAACCGCCGCCCACCTGATGCAAGGGAAGACCGTCAACGACTTTGTGATCGTCGGCGGTGCATGGGACTTGACCAAGCTGTTCGAGAAAAAGATTGTATTGCGAGCTGCGGCCAGGATTGTGGTGCATCCGGGCTTCAATATCTTAACCGGGGTCAACAACATAGCACTGATCGTCCTGGCTGCTTCGTTTGGGATAAGGCCCCACATAGCGCCCATCTGCTGGCCCACTCCCGGAGTGTCATTCGACCAGGAACGCTGCCTGGTGGCCGGTTGGGGCCAGCGGAATCCCCACGCCACAACCTATACGCAAAAGCAGAAGAAAATCGAGCTGCCCATCCTGAGCAGGCCCGTTTGCGAGGACCTCTTGCGCAGTACGCGTCTGGGCGGGAGTTTCTCGCTGGACCCCAGTTTGCTTTGTGCCGGCGGCGAGAAGGGGCGAGATGCCTGCCGGGGCGACGGTGGATCCCCGCTAATGTGTCCCATTCCCGGGCAGCCGGCGCTCTACGAATTCGTCGGCATTGTGAACAGCGGCTTGTCCTGCGGGCAGCAGAATGTGCCTGCCTTCTACACGAATATCTCCCACATGAGGCCATGGATCGAGAGGCATCTCAATGACGAGCTCAATAAGCCGTACAAGACTTTTCCGATATACACGTATGACTGAAATAAAAGACCCCTTTTCATATCTTCTTGATTGGGTCTTAGAAAGACCAGTGTGTTTGCTGCTTTCAAGTTGATCCGAGGAGCTGTTGATGATAACGTATATGATAACTTATACAAAATAGAAAAAATGAAGCTACGGGGTTTCTGCCGGCTACTGATACTGTCGTTTTTCTTCTGGCTTATCGTGCTGGAGGTGATCATATTCTATAACAGCACTGCCTTTACCGACCTGTTGGAGCTGGAGCCGTACAAGGAAACGGTCAACTCCTATGAGGTGGGTCTGCGCAGTGAGCACTGGGACGATGCTCGGATCGCGCGAATTCTCCAGGAGAAGATCCGCGTCCATTGCCTGGTTTATATGGACCGCTCGGACTACAATTTCGGTGCTCAGAAGGCCAGGCATATCGCAAAAACTTGGGGTCGTCGCTGCTCTCGGCTGTCCATTGTCAACCAAAGGAATATCACTCTGCTGCAGGCATATCGCCAGATTTATGAAGAATACCACAACGAGCTCGACTGGCTGCTGGTGGTTTACTTGGACTCGTACGTCGTCATGGAGAATCTGCGCTACCTGCTGGCCCAGTACGCGCCATCTGAGCATATCTACTTCAGTGCGGAACATGCCGTCTATGTGTACGCCCATGTGGGACGAGTCTCCACCACCGACTACATCTTTAGTAGCGAGGCGCTGGAGCAGCTGGCCACGAGGAACTGCCTGCAGGACGAGATCTTCTTCAGGGAGTGCTTGACACGCATGAGGAGGGGTCCCAGCGAGTGGCTCCTGCCGTTTAATGTGCCGGCCGAGCTGATCCCGTACAGCCTGCGCAACCACTTCTGGCTTTGGCCCTGCTCCTTTCGGGTTGTTTACCACAACCAGGTGAGTGGTTTGCACCTAAGTTGATTCTATACTATGTTGCTATTTGCAGAGCTGGGAGAGCTGTTTTGGAGGAGCAGTGCTCTATCCATATTGCCGCGCCATGCAAATGTATGTCCTGGAGTTCTCGCTCTACCACCTGCGTCCCTATGGCCACGTAAATCCGCTGCCCCAACTGGGTTCTCCCAATCCTCTAATGAGCATAGCATCTAGGCCGCCGAACGATCAGCGGGCCAAGTTGCTGTATAGGTCGGTTAGGATCATCTGCTTGGTTTTGACCTGGCCCAAGAAGTACATGAGTGGCGCGCGGGCCATCAGCGAAACTTGGGGTCGCCACTGCAACCGAGTGGTATATTATGGCAGCTCCACCGGCACTACTATTTCTGGCCTGCAAATTGTGGGTCTGAATGCCACCGACACACGCAGCAAGTTGTGGGGCAAAACAAAGGCCGCGTTTCGCCATGCGTACAGGAACTATGGCCACGAGGCGGATTGGTTCTACAAGGCGGATGACGATACCTATGCCATAATGGAGAATATGCGCAAACTGCTGAGACGCCACTCACCCGCCAAGCCGATTTACTTTGGCTCCCCATTCAAGCTGGGATCCAACCTCTACATGTCCGGCGGTGCCGGCTACGTTCTGAGCAAGAAAGCCGTGGAGCTATTGAATCACGGCGCCGCCGAAGAGTGCCTGCCAGGAGATCAGGGCGTCGAGGACTATGCGATGGGCCAGTGCCTGCGGCTGTTGGATGTCCAGGCGGGAGACTCCAGGGATCTTTTTGGACGCCAGCGGTTCTTCTCGCTGTCGCTCGAACACTTCCTCATTCCGAATCGCGATAATGAGGGCTTCTGGCTGCAAGAGTATCTCTACCAAACGACTGGAACGGTGGGCATTTCATGTCATTTACGATTTGTACTTTTTGGGAGCCCGAACTTTTCTTTCAGGGAATGGAATGCTGTTCCAGCTATTCGATTTCGATGCACAATGTCTCTCCCTACGAAATGCATTTTCTGGAATCGATTTTGTATAAGAGACGACCATATGGACTTCTGGCTGGACATCCGCCGCCAAGAAAATCGAGGAAACATGGTCTGAGGAAACAGCAGTATAATATCTAATGCTAAGGATTTAATATCGCATTTGAAATACACCTGTGCAATATGTGATATACACATGCACTTAAACAAATATAACACTTATTTGTTAGTCGGCATAACAAATTAAAGCATAAATGGCATCTAGTAGGCTTAATTCTTAAATTCAAGGAGCAGCTTTACGTTATTTGGGGGTTACTCTTTGGCATAGTCCATTGCAGTCAATCCAAATGAAAGTAATATTACTTCGCAATCTTGAAAGTGGTCTTAGTTCTGTAACTTGGCTTTGTGACACTTCTGCCTGGCACCATTTTGTTAAGAGCGTTTAGGTCGAGTTCCGTTTTGGTCTGCAAGTGAATCGAAGTTGGCCGAGCACTGGCTTCCTTTCCCGGCAATCGACCTAGTTCCCTATTCAAGCCAAAAACCCGCAGCTTGTAGATGATATAGTCGAGCACGTAAAACTCCTGTGCGTTGTTGTAGTGAAACGAGATGGCCGTGTTGGAGCAGCAGTCACTGGAGTTCTATGAATGCGACAATGGTATTGAATAGTTTGGTAACATACGATGCATATACGATGCCTCACGTTGGGGGATGTGTAGTAGGTCAGCGGCTGGTACCACTCCGGCGGCTGGGGATACCAGTGCAGCGGCGAGAAGGGAATGAAGCGACTCAGGCCGTGCTCATCCCGGGAATCGCCACCCAGCACGCCCACGCCCGCCAGACATCGTCCCAGTTCCACGTCCTCGTAGCCGTAGTTGCGATTGGTGCAGATGCTGCTGTTGCTGAAGCCCAGTTTAACCAGCCGGTGCAGGGCCATTTTGCTCAGAACATAACCCGCTCCGCCCGACATGTATCCCTAAAATCGGCAAAATACGCATTTCTGAAGCACACTTTTCGGCGACTCAGTGTAAATAAATACTGGCCTTGTGTAGAGAACATTAAACAATCCTAACTATGTAGGACTATAACTAAACATATAAAATTGTGCGAATTTTATATTGTACCTCTTTCACGTGCTGGCGAAACTTGTTTCCGAAATAAACCGGTTCCCTTAAATTGTAGGCGTGCAGAAAGGCGCGCAGGTTCTCCATAATTACATACCTAAAACAAAAATAAATATATTCCATTACTAAGAGAATACAAACATTTAAATGTTTAAACTAGATTCCACTAACGTGTCATCGTCGGCCTTCAGGAACCAGTCGTACTTCTGAAAATGGTGCCTATAGACGTACTGCAGCGCTGCCCGGGTCTTGGGCCACAAATTGGAGTAGCCCTCCCTCACGTTGAGCGCCACGGAGCCCAGTTCCCTGTCCGCCTTGGTGCTCATGAAGATCAGCTTGTTGCAGCGCCTGCCCCAGGTGCGTTTGATGTGGATGGCGCGGGTGCGATGCGTCTTCGGACTGGTCAGCACCATGCACAGGACGCGCGTCTCGTTGAAGAGGCGCGAGGCCAGGATGTCCGGCGCTGGACTTGTGCTCGAAGGAGCAGCGGTGGGGGTCGTGGCTGGGCTCCTGCTCCTGCTCCTCTGGCTGCTCGGAAAGGGACTGCTCTCCTCCTTCAGCCGCTCCGCGCGATTCTGCCAACGAGTTCGCTTCATCAGCTCGGACAGCAGTATTCCCCAGGCCAGGCCAATGAGCACCATTAGCATCAGCTCCAGGCGCTTCCGATTGGGCCGTACTCCCATCCCTTCGATGCTCCTCTTCGGGCTAGGCAGAGACAAATTTTAGATACCATACATAGTACTTAGCAGATTCTTAAGCAGTCACTGATACAATTGATAAAATATCTTTGAAATATGCACCCGGAATTAAAGGATTTATAAATATTTCAGCAAATATTTCACGCTCTGCATAGCGAATAGATTGATGTATGTTGACTGTTGAATTCGCTTCGATTTAATCACTGCTTATTTTCTCCTATTTTTATGGTTCGCATTTGTTTACTTTTTTATGCAAATTTCGTTCGTCGGCGGCAACTGAAGTGCTGCTACAACCAGTCGCCGTTGATACTGTTTTTGGATCACCGAATTAACACATTCTTGAGCCGGTGACGCAGAGTCGAAAGCCTGTAAAGATGCGGTCGACCTTCGGGAAAACACTCAGGTGGCTTTCTGCTCAGGTGTGTTTGGTGTTGTGGTGTTGTGGAGCTGTGAACTCAGCCGAGTGGCTCAGTTGGCCCCAGTTCAATTCGATTCGCAATTGCTGAGCTGCAAATGGCAAGTGACGCTTTTTCCAACCGTTTCAAACACATTTGGGCCGTTTCGAATCGCCGACTCCAATTATGCGACGGTTACTCGGAGTTTCTCGATCGTTTTCTACACTTTTGCCTCGGCGCACTGGCACAGAATATCAATCACAGGCCCTCAGCGGCAAGGCAATAAAAGTAAACGCGGCTTCGAACGCGACTCGAGGTCCAAACACAGAAAAAACAATAAACAAAGAGCCAAGAGCCAAGGCAATACGGAAAAAAGCCAACTCGAAAACAAACAGCCAGCAACGTCTTCACGCTTTGCCGGCAGTTGACAGACTCGGCTTGAATCCAAGTCGAAAATGTTGCTGGTGAAATACCTTAACGCTTCTCCCGATACCATGTTGCCAGATATTTAATGGCTATGCACGTTTCTCCATTCAATTGGTTCCCCAAATGTATGGAATGCCATTTAAGTTCATACTTTAAGAGGGTACTTCAAATTCAAGAAAGCTGTGCGTAACCTAATTATATCTTATACACTTATTAACATCCTCATCATAACCATTATAAAACCATTACACTCCTTGCGCGAAACTTGAGTGCATATTTAGACAGTGTTTTTTTGGCTAATCAAGCTTTGACCTTTCATAATTTGGCCAACAGTGTTGCAGCCACGGGGACGGCTCCTTAAAAGGCTACAGCAGATGGCACTCGCGCCTTATGGACTTCAGCTATTCCGCAACACAGGCTTCACTTTACCACCTGTGTCTAAATTTTCGAAATGGCAGCGAAAAGCTTCCGCAAAGCTTCTTGTTAGCCAAGTTGACCACAAAGGCCTGAAGGTAGGCAACACACTCGAACTCAGCTATGGTCAACGATTGGTATTTATTTTTAAAAAAACTAGCAGTAGATGAAGCACGATGAAGGAATATACAAGGAGTGCGTAGCCCACGAGCAGGACTCAGGCGTAAGGACCGCCGGAGGCGTCCAGGCCTCGCGGGGCATTGGCGTAGCTGTCCTCAGCGAAGGTGTTGGCCACCCGGGATCCGGCTCCGGATCCGGCTCCGGATGCGGTGCCCGAGGATGAGCCGGCACCGGCAACAGCTCCCGATCGCAGGACAGTTCCGGGCGCAGCTGCTGCTCCCGAGGATCGAATGACAGCCACCGACTTGGAGCGCTCATCCCGAGCCACAAATGGAGTGGGCTGGGCCACCTGGGCCACGGGAACAACCACCGTCTTGAGGGCATAGGGCACCCGGTTGACCACGGCATTGAAGCCATGCACATCATCCGCCGTGTAGGTCACGGTGCGCTTGTAGCCATCGGGATCGACGAGGCTGTAGAATCCGCGCACCACATAGCCATCCCGGGTCTCGCTGTGCTCCTTAATGTCGCCGGTGCTCTCGTCGTTCACGGCATAGTTGAAGCTGTAGCTGGCGGGCGGAAAGACCTCAGGCTCCTGGTGCTGGCGAAGAACGGAGGCGACTACCACCGGATTCGAGTGCTGGTGCTGAATGGATGGAACGATCTGCTGCTCCGGCTGCTGCGCCGATAAAACCACCTCCGAGTTCTGCTCGTTGCGGAGTACGGGCAGCGGCGAGGGCAGCAGCACGGACTCGGCATTGGCGGCACTGGCCGCATTCTGGAGAAGATTGGAGGCCTGGACACTGGCCGTACGGCTGCCGGCGGCGAACTGATTCCTGGTGGGCACCACATAGTCATAGCCGTCGGGCGTGGCCTCCGAATTCAGGGCATTGTTGCTGGGCGTGTGGTAGTCGCTCAGGAAATCCTCGCCAGAACTGGATGCACTGGCCGCCTTTGCCGAGTTCTCGTTGTAGTTGTACTCCGCTTGGCCAGCGGACAAGAGTGCCAGAGACAGCAGGGCAAAAAACTAAAAATACGCATAGGAATAAATCTCAGTTCTTCGACTCCTTCAGTTGATGATTCCTCAAATGACTTGATCCTTGCATCCTGCCCCTGTCTTTGACCGCAACTCACCTTAGCTGCCATCTCAAATCGTTTGGATCTTCCTTTCGTGGGAGTGCCTCTACAAATTGTCAGCTAACTGATGTCATAATTGAAGCAGCCCGGAGTTTTTATACTTCATCCCAGTTGCAGTTCATTACCCAATGATGGTAGTTATACAATGTCATGCGCCTCAATTGATTGATTTACCATTGTCCAAAGTCGAGACAAAGTATTGGTAACACTTTCATTTCCAATTTGTGGCCACTTTTATGCTGCGTAAGCGCAGACACTATTGGAAGATGACATAGAGGTGTGTGATGGTCGAACATCAGAATTGGAGCAAATTTTGACAATAAAAGTGGAGCAGAATGCAACATTTTTTACAAGTGTGGATTTCGCCCATCTCAGACCTCGATATAAACTTATGAAACTGCCCAACTTATTGCTTAAAATTAACTATTTAAATTTATTTTAATTTCCCAACGAACTTAATTAAGAATCCCGTGTGCGTGGCGATCCCTAATCTCCCACCGAACCGCAGAAGTTTGATGCCTCTTGATAAGAAAACAAATTAAACCGGTTGCTGGCCAACCGACTGATGCCAAGATGCTGCCTGATTTTGGCTGATTGCCGTCTGGCTAAAACAAACGGCCAACCGCCGGCAATCGGGAACCGATCGTCGCGGAGAACACAACGCTCGTGGAGAATGACGGCCAAGATGAAGTTGCGGTCCCAGCTGCATCTGCTGACGGGTTTCACGGCGGGATTCGTGCTGGCCTTCGTGCTCCTCCTCTACGTCTACGATGTCAGCAGGCTGACGCCCTGCTGGAGCAGCACCTCCACCAGATCCACGGCCACAATGGCCGCGATTGAGGACGAACCCGCGCGTTACCCGCGCATACTGTGCATGGTGCTCACCTGTCCGGAGAACGTGCAGAGCCTGGCCAGCAGTGTCTACGAGACCTGGGGTCGGCGCTGCAGTCGCCTGATCTTCGCCAGCAGCGAGGACTACGCGCCACTGGGCGTGGTCAAGGTGGTGGAGCCAGCGGGCGGTGGCTACGAGCATCTGTGGAACAAAACGCGCGAGGGATTCCGCCACGTTTGGGAGCACTACGCCGGCGACTACGATTGGTTCCTCAAGGCGGACGACGATACGTGAGTTAACCGGGGTAACTACCCCTCCGAATATGTGTGTATATTTACGAGTCCGTGCACAGATACGTGGTCATGGAGAACCTGCAGCACCTGCTCAGTGGCTTCGATCCGGATACGCCCGTCTTGTTTGGCTACAAGATGTCGCGATATAATGTGGTGAGTAATGAAGCACAATTAATTAACATTAACTTCCGGCTCTGCGCCGGAATAATATGATTATTAGGTATGAACTTCGCTAAAGTGCGATTTTTCTCAGTGCACGTGATTTATTTAACAAGTGATCTAGTTAATCGCTGGCATTAGCTTCTAATTAACAGCTCACCTTCCAGGTTTTTGTCGCCCGCTTGTTACGCTAATTTGAAATTCAAATTTTCGTTTTCAGTTTCGCTTTTTCGAAGCTGTTTAATTATGTCTTTTGCTATGAGCCAAAATGCTCCAGGCGAAATATGTTTTTAAGGGTCAATAAATTTTAATTCACTTGGAATCAATTACACACCAAAATTGTTTTTCACAGTTTTATGGCTGTCTTGATTAATAATGATTTAGAAATTATAATAAAGTGCTTTCACAACATTTGCCGAAGAAATGCCTAATCCCAAATGGATCGATCTCTTTGTTCCCAGAACCGGTCCCCCATTGTGTGTGTAATTTCCAAATAACCAATGGCTATTTATGGTGCATTGTCTGGCGGCAATCAGCATTAAAGCTATTATTGGTGGCATGATATCACGCAAAACAGTTAGCATCTCCACTCGCCAAACGCTTCTTGTCTTCGCGCAGATGCGCATAGATCAAGTGGTGCAAATTAAATTCGCATTAACCCGCCAAGCTGCAGTCCGCGCAAGCTAATGGCCATGATTCACCTGAGGTCATCGCGATCACCTGCCACGCATCTTTCACAGCCGCACCTTTTGGGCGGCAGGCGCGGATTTACCTCGCCATTTGACATTTGCATTTGCATTTGCGTTTGCGTTTGCATTTGCAGAGTTGAGCAAGCGCCTTGTGAGCCGAGGTACATCTGGGCTGAATAAATAGGTAGAGTAAACAAATGAGTTACGGCGGACGGCAGCTGAGAAACCAAAATATTAAAATGTTTTCCTTTGTTTCAGCTGCTGCAGCACACACGCTGAATAGATTGTATCTCGCGGGTTGATGGTTCCTAATGTTTTAATGATTTGTGATTGATAACTGCCTAATTTTGTGTTTTTATTTGAATAGGGCCTGCATACTAAACCACTTAACATATTTTTATGCTCCTATGAATTATGGATTAATTTCAAACATTTTGTCGACTTTTCGAGTTATAATTGGGCGGTTTGGGGTATGATGGCCTATGCGCCACACTTCAGCGACATAATCCCACATAATCCCAAGTCAAAGGGCACAATTGACACTAAATTTGTGAGCTTCGCTCGTTTGCAAGTGAGTTTGATTCGTGTTTTGACACAAAATTAACTTGATTTCGTTGGTGGGTAAGTTAAAAACCCAAAAGCGTTACTTAAATTGGGAAAATCCTGGTCTTTCGGGTCTTTGAAGTAAATAGCATAAGCAATTACAATTGGGCGGTACCATTTTAATATGACAATTTGTGTTAATTGTGTGCTTTGAAATTCCTTAGAGTTATATGTCTGGTGGCGCTTCGTACATTTTGAGTCGAGAGGCGCTCCATCGATTTGCAACACAAGCCTACGAGTCCGAGGTGATTTGTCCGCAGCCGAAGAAGATGGGCATCGAGGACTTTTACATGGGAATTTGTCTGCAGAATGTGGGCGTGCACTTCGTCGACTCCACACAGAACTTGGATGGAGACACAAAACCAAAGTTTATGCCCCTGGATCTGGAGAGCTATATGTCGGATGCCAATTACACCATTCCGGATTGGCTGCGCCTGATGAGTCTGTCCCGAGTTGAAACTGTGGGTCACAAGATTATATTCGAACATGCTTAAGTAAAACTTACTTTATTTCAGGGCTTGGGATGCTGTTCCAACTATTCTGTGGCCTTTCATTATGCCAGTCGAGAACGCATGTTCCTCTACGAGTTTCTAATCTATCATCTGAAAGTATTTGATCCTAAACAGATTTCTGAAAGCAGACACAGAAGTCGATTGACTGTAGCTGATTTAGCGAGACGATTTCCTTTGGAAGATAACTCCAATATAAGAGACTTGCTTCAAATGTCTGAGAAACCTGATAATTTTTAGATGCCTAAATGTGTTTTTGCATAAGCTATTAAGATTGTGATATGAACTGATGAATATATTTATGATATTATACACCTTCTTTAAATTATGTGGTTTTTTATTCGGTGCTTAATACCATTTTTGTAGACTTGGTGCGAGGATACAAGTAAAGTGGCAAAATCTATAGCCAAAGACACTGGAATAATTATTCTATAGCGAAGTCGTTAAAGTTTTAAAGGCAGAACACAGGCAAGTCTTTAAAAAATTGCTGAAAAATCTTTTGCATAACTTTAGGCATTTTTAAAAATGACAGGGGCCACACGAAAAAGTAGCGTCTGTTATAAATTTGTATACGCTGTGTAAAATAGGCGTTTTTTACATTATTTGATATTCAATTAAAGAACGGCGACTATGAAAAACATAATCGTTCATTTTAGTTTGATAATTTGCATGATTTATCTTTAAAGTGCTATCAATTTTTTTCCTAACATTAAGTGCCCATAAAAAGTTATGAATCTCTTATACTCTACCTATGGGAACAGTCCATTTGGGATAAATATTACCCAGAAACTTGTAGCCAATTAAAAAGAAAATAAACTTTATTTTACAGTTAAGTGACTGGAAGTTAAGCCTCCTTTGTTTTTTGGTTAATTATCGCAGTAAAGGTGTTTCAAGTGCACCAAAGTGCAATTCACCTGCGTTTGATTGAAGATTCCGCAATTGGTTTTAAGCGGATGGCACATGGTCCGTAATATATTTTTAAAATTTATTGCATTGACCTTGCGGGCATTGACTGCGGTATTTACCTAACACCTGGCAGCTAGACATGGCAAAACTGGCAGCAGCGGAGGGATTGGGCCTGGAAAACAAGGCCGAAACCCGGCGAGTACCACGTGGAAATCCTTCAGTGGGGGCATTCTTGCATGAAGGGCTGACCGACTGAACTGCACTCGACTAGGCTGGGTTTTCATTACCAAAGTCAATGCCCCAGTCTCACCTCAAAGCCGCCTCACCTGCTTCAGTTGGCCAACAAACATGAACTACATATACGTAAGTATCTACGGGCTGAGCTGTTGCGAAGCCAGAGTAAATTAAATCCAAAAACACGTACGCATGCGCGCTGTGTGTCAGTTGGCATTTCCACTCGAAATGCCATCGGAGCAGATAGAGATGTATTTAGAAGCCGGCTGCGAAACTATTTATGGTAAAATTGCATTAGATACATCATTGATGGGATGCGCCGAGCGCGGCTCGTTAAGTGCGAGTTGCAAGTGAAAGGGAACTTGTTTCGCTGCGATTTTCTACCCACATTGTGGGCTTATAGTTAGGCATGAGCTCAGTGTGTTAATGGGTTAACCAGTAAGTAATGGAACATAAATGCGAAAAGCTCTATTGAGGAAGCGAATGCTCCAGCACTTGTGCAAACAGGGCGCCTAGCTTCGAGAGCTGGGAGTGGGCACAAGTGCACCTTGGCATCACACTTCAGTGCAGTGCCATGGATATGGGGACATGGGATGGGTCAGCCTAATCGTTTGATATACTTTTCAAAATGACTGTGGCGTATTATGTTGCAACTTGGTGTTTGCTTGGTATGAGTACCAATCCCATGCCAAGCTAGCACAAGCCCTTAGTGAGCCAGTGGCTTGATAATCCAGTCCAGTCGCTGACTCAAAGAATCCAATTAGCGGAAAATGATTTAATTCATGAGACAACCCAACTCGGCACTGCAACTATTTGCTAACAAGCTGGGCCAACACGGCTACCAGTTGCAGCTACCTACTAGTGACTAGTTAATTCAGCTTACTTACTTGCCCAAGCTCACAATGTATCAGCGCTGCCAAGCGGCCGTCACACGGTGCGTATGCTTAATGCGTTTGGCTTAACTATGACTTGCTCTTGCCGCAAATCTGAGTTTGCTGAGTGTTTGCTTCAATGGCGCGTGTTCCATTTTGTGGGCCAGCACCAGCTTCACGACTTTTTGTTGCTGCTCTGGTTATTGTCACCTGTCCGATTATTGTTTTTATTACTATTTCTATTTGGCCGCCTTGTGCGTTGGCCTGGCCTTCGATCTAACTCGCTCTCGATTTGCAAGCCATTAAAATTAATATTTTTCGTGGCTGAAACTGAAATTGTATCGACACCGAAATCCCAGCTGTAAGAAATCAATTACTTTGCTATGCGTAGCCGTGCCTTACTCATTGATATACATATATATTATTTTTTTCGGTTGCTTGGGTTTTTTATGCCGTGAAAGTTGTTAAACCATTTAACATCACTGTTGTTGGTGCTTTGAATTTGATTTTGCTGAGCAAGATAAATTAATTATTAATGTGGCTCGAATATTTGCAGGCCATTTCACATAAACACAGAAATTATTGCTCGTTTTTTACCCTTCACTTTTGTGGCCAAGACACATAGCCCAGGAATGCGATATCATTGTAGCTGTCTTCCACTTTTTTTGATTGTGAGTTCTGTGTGCGTAAATTGTTGTGGAGCTGATCGAGAGCTTGTTTAGAACTCGTAATTGCTATTGAGGCCGAGAGTGTTTTGGGCTTGGTAGTACCATTAAAGCCTCGAGTGGGTGCTCGAAACTTTGAGTCTGGACTCGGACTGGACTATTTTCGACTCCACAATTCCCGGCTATAGGCACATTGATATGTAGCTAGGTTGCGATTAAACACGGAATAAAAGTGTTTTAGTTGTAATTGGTGTTCGCAAGCTGCGGTGCATTATTCATCATTTTTAGAGCCAAGGGGTCAAAGTATTATCGCTGGCAACTAACAACATACATATCTACACTTGCGTAAAAAATAGTAAACATTCTTATCAGTAGTAATCTTCGGAAGTCTGTCAATAAATCCACAATCAGTTGAATTTACTAGTTCATCACAAGCAGTATGGTGCAACTGGGAGCTGCTGTTTTAATCGCCTTTATAGTCTGGAATCCTTACGGATCCCAGGCAAAGTCCTCGGAGGAACTGGTTGCGACACCACGGCTAAGTGTTTCATTTCAAGACATGATTCCATTGCTAGATTACATTACCATGCACCGCTGCAAGGAAGCAGATAAACTAGCAGGGTTGGAGGCCAAGCAAACGGACATGCAGACGTCCTTGGTATCTTTGTTGGAAGGACGCCTCGATGAAACTCTGGAAAAACTAGCAGGGTTGGAGGCCAAGCAAGCGGACATGCAGCAGTCATTGGCATCTATGTCGCATAATGAAAACTTGGATCAGGAAACCATAATAGACGCCATTGCTAACAGCGTTCAAGTGAATTTGGCTGAGAGGCTTACCAATTTGGAAGACAAGACGGCAGCGATTAAGGACACCTTGGACAACAAGCAAATGGAGTCTGCGCTGTCCAGCCAATTAGCAGCCATACAGGAAAGCCTCAGCTCCATTCAATCATCATCTTCAATAGCCAGCATAGTGCCGGCGAAGTTTAGGCAAATAGGATCGAAGCTGATTTACGTCGAGAATAATTTGATGGTAAACTGGGTTACAGCTGCACGTATGTGCCGTGCTATGGGAGGGTATCTGGCCTCCATTGACGACGAGGATGATCTTGCCGAGATCCGTTCGAATTTGTATAGCTATCGCTACTACTGGCTGAGCAGCATTGATTTGGAGGGGGGTGCTGATAATTCAGACAACAATGAGATCAGCAATACCTGCGTTGAACTCAGTAATAATGAAACAAAGGATCAATTATGTACTTATGAGAATTTCTTCATATGCGAAAGTGCAGTGTAGATGTTTTTGAAAATAAATTGTCTTTGCATTACTTCAATACTCTTTTACTTCGTCAGTTTATTGCACATTAAATGGGTGATTTTCAGTTTGGAATTTGGAATGAATAGATAGCCCACAGCTGCAGTTACCAATCGAATTAACGTAGCCAACTTCGGATTGCCGCTTGGAAGGCCTCATGGCTAAAAAAATCATTTACAAGTTGCCTCATTGCACGCACAGATAAATCAACACTCGACGACAATCGGCAGCATATAGAAATTAATTAATTTAATTACTTATCCAACTGAATTGCTTTGTAGTTTCGAGTTCTCCACTTATGCTTGTGTGTTTTCAATACATTTTTGCGATTTTTTAATGACAATCGAGCATGAAACGTTCGATTCATTTTTTTGTTCTTGTGCGCAACTCATTCAAAGTGCACTCAAAAGTTGGAAATGTGATTTTTTTCTAAGTTCTCTTTTTTTTTTGGTTTTCCATGCGTGTTAAAAGTAAGCGTCGATCGTTCTCTTGCAATAATAAATATTTATAGATGCGCCCGTTCTGCTAAATACCTGGCTGCACTTGTTAAGCCCGGCTCGATTCGAAGATAAATAAGAATCTTAATTGATTTAATGTGCACAGCTGCATTTGACGACTTCTGACTATTGACTGACATCCGAACAAAGATCGAAGAGGCTAGTGTGGGGCCATGGAGGTAAGTGAGCTGTCGACATGCCCCTACTATACTTGACATACAATATTGTCTCTGGACAATGGTTAAATGTTCCAGAGCTCCATCTTCGAATGGTTGAGTGTCTGAGAAGCTTGAATGTGGCCCTATGTTCATGTAGATTTGAGTAACTCGAATAATTGATATGCTGAAAGCAAAAATGTCATGTCTGTTGTGTAACGCAATTGAAGGTGGATTGCTAAAATTAAATTGGTCCAGAAACCCCAGTTACACCTAATATGAAGCCATCATACTAGTGGGACGGCACTCCATTAGTATGCAAATTTAGTGTAATCAACGACTCCAAGAACCAACCGCTGGCACCTCCATCTCCCGCGGGGCAAACAGGAACTCTTCTCCACATGGCTGCCGGTTTTTACCACTCCATCAACCAGATCAGCCAGAGCGGACCGATTGAGGATGGACTCTCTCGCCTGATCTCTACACCAGCGCCACCCGGTTGCAGTGCATCCGCCAGGCTGGGAAATTCCCGCTTGGCGGCGAGAGAAAGGGCGAGCGACAAGGCAATGATTAATTCGACACGTCGTCATGTCGAATATGACGGAACCCATTTGGAGGCGGACATGGCCTGGGATCCAGTCCCACCACCCAGATCCCGAGAGCCGAAGCGAAATGGAGCAGCGGTTCGGTAGCCCCAAGAGCGGGAGCGAGGCCACACTGAGAGAAAGGAACTAGAGCGCCAATTTTTGTGTAAAGAAAATGGTACTAAGCAAAGCACATATTTCCTTGTTAAATTGTAATCTATAAGCCTCTTATACAAAATATATATTTTTGAATGATTTTAATAACGCATACATATTATTAAAATGAAAAATAACTAATCTAGGCATTTTGGAATGGCTTAAAGTTAAAGATCACCTACCTGAGGAATCGAACCCGGACCACAACTTGAACTGCATGCATATAGATTTTTTCATTTAGTTTCAAAATGCAAACTTTCTCGCGCAATACGAATCGGAACATCAGGCGCTCGATTTCCGGATTCGAAATGTATGCTCCTCACATTTTGCTTTCAGTGCATAACCGGTTCCACTGCGGACCGATTCGAGCTCCAACACGGAGGGTCCCCCGCACAGCTGGGCTCAGTTTCGAACGAACTCTTGGCCGCTGCGGACGTGTGTTGGAGCCCTCGATTGGGAGGCGGATTCGAATCGTGTGTGTGGAGTGTGTGTGTGGTGTGCTGGTGAGCTGGTGAGCGAACGCCGACGAGAGTGAATGTGAAACGGTGGAGCGCCGACGCGCTGAAACGTGTCGCGCATGCGCCGTCTTCTTCACCGTTATCGTGGCTCTGTGTGCGGCTCTTTGTGGCTGTCGCCAGGCGAAATTGCTCAAATTGCTTGGAAAATAGTGCAAAACCCCGATAAACATTGAGCACCCACATGCGGAGATGATTGGATACTTTGGATAGTTTTTTTCGGGTGCTGCCCATCTCTTTTGCTCGCCCACAAGCGAACAATTCACCGATTCGCCCTCTCTCTCATCTGTGTATGTGTGTGTGTGTGCTGGTGCGTTTGTATTTGTTGTCTTCTTATTTTTGGGTCCCCTTTTGGAGTTCCGAGTCTTCTTTGTCCGTTGCTTCGTCGCCGTCTTGGCTTTGCTTACGTTTTCGTTCATGAATTTAAATTATTTTCGTGTTTAATTTTTTGCTGATTTGCTGGTGCTTCTTCTTGCACAGCCTCCCATGCAACAAAAGCGGGTTTTGCGCAATTTTGGCGACTGCAAAAACATTGAAGGAAATCCATCTACAAGACCAGGAATATGTGAATATATACGAATGGTGGATAGATGGAGTCTCTCAGAAGCAGCGAAACAAAAACTTCTAGTTACTTCAACACTTTTATGCCAACATAAAACCGAGAATTATAATTTGAATGCACATTATAACATATAACATTTAATAGAAATGTATTCCTCGCATTTCCTAAATTGCCTGCGAAACACTAACAATTTCTTGCCATTTTCGTGTTATTTTCAAATTGACGGGTTCTGGTTTTCGGATTGCGTCTTAGATCCATAGGAATTTCGGATTTATTTGATCTCTGCTCGAGCTGCGGACAACAATTTCAGAAAATAGCCGCAGAAATGTTTATTAATTAATGCGAAGTGGCCGGGGGCGATGGCTAATGCTCGGAAAGCTAAGGCTTGTGGCTTCCACCTTTTGCCGCAATATAATTTTTCGTATTGTACCGTAATTTCCAAGTGATTATGGCCGTTCAGTCTTCCACGCTTTCTGGGCTTTCTCTCTCGCTCGCTCTTTGGATCTCTTTCATATATATATGTACATATATATATATAGGTATTTGTATATGTATGTGGATCACCCACAATTTTAGCCGACTACTTGGATTTGGCTTTTACCGCACAAAAAGTTTTCTCTGCGCGGCCATTTAATAATAGTTTCCAAACAAACTCCAAATTGCATTGGGCGGAAAAAAGTTAATGTTCAAATGGTAAAAGGGGGAGGGGGAGGGGGCGGGGGCCTTATGACTTTGTTAGCTCTAGCACTCTGCAGTTGTTGTAATGTTAATTGTTTGCAGTTGTGCAATGGCATTTTATATACTCGTATGCCTCTTTGCCTTGCCTGCCATATACATATGTACATACGTGTATGCACATACGTACTTCTATGCTTTGTATCTTCAGTTTTCGGCTTCTTTCCGACCATTGTCGATTATGACTAATGGAATCTGGTCGCCGTTTGTCGACTGCGGTTTGTAAGGCCGCAGAAGGTCAATTGCTCTGTGGGTAATTCCATTTGGGGCCGCCTCTTCGCCCTTTATTTGCTTTGCCATTTTGCTGGCCATTCAGCACACTGCATTCGATAAATGCGATTTTATTCCTTCGGCTCACTTTGTGCAATCAAATTAATTGCTCGGCATTAACGAAGCATTTCGCTATTTGCTTTTGGGCCTCTGCGGTCAAGTCGATTTCGGGTTTTAAAGATATTCGGTATATTAAACAACAAAATGTGGTTGAAGGGGAATCAATAAGTTATTAAATAATATGCAAAGTTACACAGAGTTAACATTTATATGTCATTCAAGAGCACAGAGCAAGTGACAATGAAAACAAAAACGCGTAGTAGATAACTTCATCAGGTTTTATGGTAATTTAGTCGATCGTCAACATTTTTAACGAGAATTGGAGTGAGTCGGCGTACGAAAAAATATCCAAACAAAGTGTGCGAATCTCCGCATGAATCGCAGAATTCTGAAAATCATGTCTCAAAGAAATCAATTGTTTTCCTTCGCAGTGCAATAGTGGAAAACCATGGAATCTCAAACCAAATGTTCGACCGCGCCACTGTGATGAAACTCGATATAATGCAAAATTAAGCCCATGCCCTCGCAGTCAAAACCAAACTCAAGTGTTAGTTTATCTAATTAATTTAACAATACCAACGACCGAATTTCGTGCACCAAAATAGCGAATAACGAATAGTATACGAAATAAAAGACATTGTTTGCAATCAATATGAGTGTTCCAAGTGCGCCCCTTCAGAGGGCAGAAAGCAAAAATCGAGTGCCGCGTCCCGGGCGAAAAAACCCCAAGCTCCGGCTCCATTTGCCCGGGGCCACCTATGGAGGAGCCCTGCTGCTGCTACTGATTAGTCTCGGTCTGGATATGGGCTCCGTGCATTGTTATGGTGAGTGCCAAACGACCTACCACTTCCCTACATCGCTATATGGTTATTCAATTCAATTAGGTCCATTTGCATAGACATGTATCGTGCCGTTGGGGAGCTTTGTTTAGCCTGGGAATGGATGATATGCACCCCAGTTTGAAAGATGAAATATATGGTTTTTTAGCCTTAACTCAATATTTCAGTGGGCTTAGCTTTAAGATAGATTTGGCACCAGGCATGGAACTCATGATTTAAGTGCAATTGCCACTCAAAGGCAAATAAACCCATCATATCTGAACTCCGTAAATACTACCTGGTCCATATTGACGTCATCCCATAGACGCCATGCATTGGAATCGCCAGACGTGCCAAGATCTCGTGGCTTCAAAATGACCGATTAGATCCCGCCACCAGCAATTTATTATGCATAAAAAGTGTATGTATTAACGCACACAGTGAGAAATTGTTTTGCGTTGCTTGAAACAGTTAATAGATTCTGATTTCTAAAGCTGCAACTGGGGGAATTGCTAATTTCAAATAGCACTGAAGACAGTAATATCTCATTACAATAGAATTTCATTTAGCATTTTCGAGTTACAATTGCGCTCAGTATCCGTCTTTCGAAGCTTGGGATTCCATGATGTCTGACGATACTGGACACGTACCAACCACCTGGGGATTTGCAGTGGCTGGGGGCGTGGCTCGACACTCGACACTCGATGCGAGTCAAATGTCAACGCACGATCAACTGGCTTCCTATCGATTTTGCATTTGTATCTCATTTCTCACTCCGACTTACATTGTTCTGGCTTTGCTATTTTGCTTATGCATTGATTTACGATCGGCCATCCAATTTTGCATTTTATTTTGAAATATTTAGCGAAATTAAATTACTGCCAACACACGTGAAATGTATCCCATTGTGCTGGCCAGCCACGCCCCCCGCGGTGCGCCCTCTTCCTGATCGAAAGATCGACGGCTTTAGTGATCCCCAAACTCGGATTTTGGACCTCCGATCGCCGCAGGTGGCTTTGGGGAAGTCGAACGATTAATTCGACTCGCCAAATAATTTGTTTCATTTTGTTTTGTTTCCATCGAATTTATTAGCATTCGCGAAGGCCTATTGTTGCTTCAGTCTCGATCGATTGATTATTTTGAATTAGCTATATCGAATTAACAAAATTGGCATACACGCACAAAAAATGCTGCTAAGGAGGCTTTTGAGCTTTTTAGAGTTTGGTATTAGAAGCACTTCCATTACTAAACAACAAGTAAGATACTTTTTAAGGAGTTGCATCAACAAACAACACCTAACTAACTTGCTTTAAATTCAGTAAATATGTTTAAGCGACTATCATTTTTAAATTCCTCTAAATAAAGCTTCCCACTTCGCTCGAAAATCACCTTGCCTATTTAGCACATTTCAAGAACTTATTCTTCAGAATCACAACCATCAATTAAGTGGTGATCAAATCCCCCATTTATTAAAATCACTCGTTTGATCATCAGTTGGACTTTTGAATTGAGTGGTTACTCATACAAACTAGCAAAAATGTCCAATACTGGAGTTTTTAATTAGGCAAATGGTATTTTGATGAACGAAAAAGCTAGTCAACCAACTGCATCATTAACATCGTGTAAACTGAACTGATCGTATATATTGGGCAAGTGTTTCAATATAACTTCGATTTAGGAATGACTGCATTCCTTGCGAATCGTAACGCTTAATTAAGCCGCTAGAGATAAAATAAATTCTTTGGCATTCATTAGTACTCATGTTAAGCGGGGCGAGAACTCGCACGGGAATGTAAAATTAAATTAAGTCATGTGCGCATTTTTATATGCCTTCCAATTTGGCAACCAATTAACAGCTAACAAATAGATGTCACTGTCTACATTCATTATTTTTTTAGTCGCCATAATAAGTCTTAGTTTTGAGTCACTTGCTTGAAACCGAAAGCGAAAGTTTTTCTGTAAAAAACTTCCAAACGTTTTATTTTGAACTCTTGTACTCTTTATCCCAAGTACAAAAAATTCTTAGAACACAGAATCAAAGGAAACATAAAAGTTATCATGATACCACTTTAGAAAGCATGATGCATAGAAATTATTTTGAAGTAGGCGTTTTACTAACTGAAAAGTATAAGCTAAAATAACTAATGAAGAGAAAGCGAATTGCTAGTCGATTGTTGAACGTTTTTCTATTGGTGGTTCTGTGCTATCTAATATTTACTACCATTTCCGATCGGAATAAAGCCATAAGCATAAGCGAAGTGCCCCAGATCTACATCAATGAGGAAGATGAGCTCTTTGTCAACACCACGGGATGTCGAATAAGTTCGACGAAACCACTTTCGCTTTTTGCCCTGCCCTTCATGGAACCCATTGAACCCATTGTATGTAGAATGGAGCAGCTGTTGGTTGCAGAGACAATTGGAGACAGGAATTACTTGGTGCGTAACATATCGAGGCCTGGGATTCTCTCATGGAGGCAAGTGTCCTGCATTTATCGGCAGTTTTTGAGGGTCGATGACGCACACAACAAGTATATATCCTTGAAGTTTTTCAAGCTAAGCGATGGAACGAGATACCTTAAGGTGGGCACTGGCTTGCAAAACATTCGAACTTGGTGCTGGGTGGACTTTGGCAGGATCATTTTCCACGACGTTCTCTATTTCCTGCCACCACCGCCCCAGGCTACAAACAGATCTACAGAACTTCAGGAGAGAAAGCTATCCGTGATGATCCTGGGAGTCGATTCCATCTCTCACATGCACTACATGCGATACTTTCACCGCGTTGCCGAATTCATCGAGCACCTGCCACACACCGAATTCTGGGGCTATAATCGCGTTGCCTTGAACACATATCCCAACTTGATGCCTCTGGTAAGCGGACTCAGTGTTTCGGAGATGGAGGCATCTTGCTACACGGGCGAATTGAGCTTTGACAAATGTAACTTCTTGTGGAATGAATTCAAGAGGGCGGGGTACAGCACCATCTTTGCAGAGGACACGGATACCGCAGGGCTTTTTATCTACAGAAAGAGGGGCTACAAGAAGCAGCCCACCGATATTTACATGCGTCCTCTGATGGTTGAGATCGAATCTCATTCGTTATATCGCACCAAATTCGATCTAAAGTGCACAGGGCATCGTCTCTATGGAGAGTTTTACTATGAATTCGTCTCGAAGTTGATTCCACACTTGGAACGCCAGTTATTTTTCTCATTTTTGTGGAATATGCACGGTATACACGACGTCTTTCAATTTGCCAAGCTTGTGGATAAGGACTACCTGAGTATATTGACCAGGCTACGCGAAAGGGGAGTGATGGAGAACACGCTGATCCTGTTTATGGGTGATCATGGCTTGAGATTCGATAGATTCGCCCGAACTGCTCCGGGACAACATGAAATGTCGCAGCCGCTCTTGATTGCCATCTATCCCGAATGGTTAAAAAGGAGATTTCCCCTCGCCATGTCGAACTTGGAACAAAACGCCAGAAGTCTCATTACCACATTTGATCTGCACAAAACTCTCGAGGATGTGATCCATCTTGATCGGCTGACCGATGCCAATATAAAGAATAGAACGCTTAATTTGGTGAACGAGCGCGGAATCAGTTTGTTTTTGCCCATTCCTCAGAACAGAGATTGTCAAACCGCAGAGATACCAAAACACTATTGCCTCTGCAACAAACTAACCTCGGTTTCCACCCACGAAAGTTCCGTTCAAGAGGCTGCCAGTTTCGCAGTGGACAGGATCAATGAGCTCATCAAGCCATATCCGCAGTGCAGAATTCTAAGCCTGAAGGCAGTTCGCGCCGCCTATCGCGCCAAAGATGACTATCGGGGAAACTACAGGCTGTCGCAGATTATGGTACGCCTGAAAACGACGCCCGGGGACGGAAACTTCGATGCCACCGTTCTTATAACCATGCTTAATGGTGAGAGGAAGGATATGCAGCTGGGAGGTCCTGTGACCAGGACCGATAGATACGCCCAGCAGGCCTACTGCGTTCAAAACTATCGCATTGAAATGTACTGCTATTGCTTATGAGTTACTTTTCGCAAGATCGTTACTAGCTTACTCTCAGCATTAACTTTTAGTACATTACAATTAGTACAATACCCCGCATGTTTTTTCCAAAAACTAATTAAGCAATGCCACGTGAAAAAAATCTGCATCTTTTGTTTAAACGGCAAGAGTCACGCACGAACCGAGATGAAAGTGAATTTTGCGACGTACCGGACGCGTATGAATCAAAAGACTTAGAAAACGAACGCGAAACAGCTGACGAAATTGAAGAGCGACTCACAGAAAGTACAATGCGACAATTGATGGCGCCGACCGTGTTGGGCACAAAAAACCAGTAGTTTTTATATAGTATGTGAATATCTAGTTTTTTTAGGGGAATCCGTGATGTCGTGCATGTTTTTACAATAAGAAAAAAAAAGGAAAACAAATAAAAGAAGCTTATGTGTGGAAGCTTTTTTAGCGTGCAGGTGTTGGTTAGTGATTCTTTTTTTTTACCAACATTCCGTTCGCCGCCAACACAGACTGTTTGTGAACATATAGCTTTATATATATAGCTGAACGGAGTCAGCTGAGGCTTCCTCTCTCGGAGCCTCCTCAGCTGGCTACGTTTTTGGTTAACCGGATCTGATTCTGTTTGCCATCTCAGACCTGGAAATTAATGCTGTTTGTTGCCTTCGCTGTTGCTAGCTAGCCATCCATCACTCACTCACTCACTGGCTCTCGAAAATGGTACGAAATATATTCATGACTTGTAGCTGCCAACGTCATATATCTGCCATGGTTTGCTCAAGATGAAGATGGAGAACCCACAAAATCCGGCAAAACAAACCATCTTTTTCTGTCCAGCACGGAATTATGGTCGAATTCAAAGGTGATGCCGTAACAGAAGCTGTATTATAAACAATAGAACAAATAAACTGGTTTAAATGTCTAATATGGGTATTCCATCTAAGCACTTTTTAGAATGTTGGGCATGTTTTCTTTTTGGGCTGCGGGCATTGGCTTGTTAATTTGAAAACTGGTTTCTCGTAAATCTTACCCACCCCGCTCACAATTGTTCGCAAATAAACCATAATTATAACGTTTAGCGTCAGAACAATTACGCCTTGCAGATTTTTATCACTTAAAGGTGTCTTCTGTTGAACAAATATTTATTTTTACAACTCGTGTTGTTTTTTTCTGTGAATCATGCACAAAGTCGGCATTAAAAAGGTGGAATTATAAATTGAGCTTGGCAAAATAAAAAGTTGAGATTAATTGGGGTTTGTTTGTTGTGTTTGCGGAATTGAAGAGTATACATTAATTATATCCCTCAAGTGTGTAAGCTAAACCCTATTTGGATCCTAATTTATTCATTTAATGTCATTTTCCTAATTGCCGAACACAAATAGGAATTCCCTACAAATGTCCGGGTGTGGCGATTAGTCAAATTCGATTAAAATTCATGCGATATTGTGCTGTAATTAGTTTTTATGATGACAAGTCGAATGTAGATAATTTCTCAAAATTGCTTAGCAACTTGTTAGAACCATTAGATTGTTGAAATCTATGCAAATTGGCGCCATTCCTCGCGTCCAGCCATTTGTGCCATTGGGTGCGATTCAATCTCCGCCATCTAAACCTCAAGTCAATCAATTTTCCAGTCAATTAAAACCAAACTAAGTCAACCAAAAACAGTGTCTAATATCACAATCTACAATTTATCGGATCACTTTGACTTTGCTGAAAACCGGCTACTGTCCGCAGACAAGTTTATGCGTAAATTATTTATCTAATATGAAGTGAACATTTAAGGCATTTTCAGATCTAACTAGCTTAAATTAATGCGTCACTTACGCGCATAAAACTGAACCAAATTACGCAAATAAATGCAAAATAATTAGAAAAGTCGTAACGCCTTGGTTCTATTACTGAAAACTTCGGATTGTTGTGAATAAGATATGTAGGTGAAGGTGTTGTTAAAATTTTGTTAGCCAAAATAATATGCACTGGGTTGAAGCACTGATGCAAGTTAATTTAACTAGTTTGATAAAATGAATATTTAAGACCTATTGCGGTGACCTCACGAATGGGTTAAATAGGTAATAGAGGAGAAACGAGTGTTCTACGGTTCCCACACTAAAATAGATTAAATGTAATTGCTTCAAGGCAGTAAACTCTAACATGTGTCACCTGTGTTCCTATCTTTCAGAGAAAATGTATAGCCAGACCGAGAAACAGCGTTACGATGGCTGGTACAATAACCTGGCCCATCCCGACTGGGGATCCGTGGGTAAGTGGACAGACTGGAATTTCCGCCAGGCCGTTGACAACTTTCGAAAAAGGGTGAATTGAGCCGATTGGGCCAGTAATTAGAATCGGTTGGTTGTGAGATTGGCCTGGATTTGCATATCAATCAGCTTGCAATTACCATTGGCCAGCTGTGCTGAGGCTAACCCTTGCCCCTTGCCATTGTTTTCCAGATAGCCACCTGGTGCGAAAGGCGCCGCCCTCCTATTCGGATGGGGTTTACGCAATGGCAGGTGCCAACCGGCCCTCGACCCGCAGGCTCAGCCGGCTGTTTATGCGGGGAAAGGACGGGCTGGGGTCAAAGTTCAACCGGACCGCGCTGCTGGCCTTCTTCGGCCAGCTGGTGGCCAACGAGATCGTAATGGCCTCGGAGTCCGGCTGCCCCATCGAGATGCACCGCATCGAGATCGAGAAGTGCGACGAGATGTACGACCGGGAGTGCCGCGGCGACAAGTACATACCCTTCCACCGGGCGGCCTACGATCGCGACACCGGACAGAGTCCGAATGCGCCGAGGGAGCAGGTGGGTTACGGTACCATCGGATGGTTCTAAACGCCACTACTGAAATCATACTCCGCAGATAAATCAAATGACTGCTTGGATTGATGGCAGTTTCATTTACAGCACCTCCGAGGCCTGGCTCAATGCCATGCGCTCCTTCCACAATGGCACCCTGCTCACCGAGAAGGATGGCAAGCTTCCGGTGCGGAACACCATGCGGGTGCCGCTCTTCAACAATCCGGTGCCGAGTGTCATGAAGATGCTCAGTCCGGAGAGGCTGTTCCGTGAGTTTTAAATGCTTTTGCCAGTTGCAGCAGTAGTGCAATGTAAAGTGTCTCTATTTGTTTCCAGTTCTTGGCGATCCTCGCACCAATCAGAATCCTGCGATCCTGTCCTTCGCCATCCTCTTCCTGCGCTGGCACAACACCCTGGCCCAGCGGATCAAGCGGGTGCATCCGGATTGGAGTGATGAGGACATCTATCAGCGGACACGCCACACGGTGATTGCCAGTCTGCAGAATGTGATAGTCTACGAGTACCTGCCCGCCTTCCTGGGCACCTCGTTGCCACCGTACGAGGGCTACAGGCAGGACATACATCCTGGCATTGGCCACATCTTCCAGGCGGCTGCCTTTCGATTTGGCCACACGATGATCCCGCCGGGAATTTACAGGCGGGATGGTCAGTGCCACTTTAAGGAAACACCTATGGGTTACCCGGCGGTCCGACTCTGCTCCACTTGGTGGGACTCCAGCGTGAGTTTTGGCTATCTGAATTAGGAGTCATTGTCTAATGATTCATCTACTTTTCAGGGATTCTTCGCCGACACCAGCGTGGAGGAGGTACTGATGGGTCTGGCCTCGCAAATATCCGAACGTGAGGATCCGGTTCTCTGCTCAGATGTGCGGGACAAACTGTTCGGACCCATGGAATTCACACGACGAGATCTGGGTGCTCTTAACATAATGCGAGGTCGGGACAATGGCCTGCCGGATTACAATACCGCGCGGGAGTCTTATGGACTGAAGAGGCACAAGACCTGGACAGATATCAATCCACCATTGTTCGAAACGCAGCCAGAGCTCTTGGAGTAAGTAAAAATCGGTTTTATAGCATTTTATTAAATTGACTCACCAAACCTGTTCAGCATGCTGAAGGAGGCGTACGATAACCAGCTGGATGATGTGGATGTCTATGTGGGCGGTATGCTGGAATCCTACGGTCAGCCGGGCGAGTTCTTCACGGCCGTAATCAAGGAGCAGTTCCAACGGCTGCGAGATGCCGATCGATTTTGGTTCGAGAACGAGCGCAACGGGATATTCACTCCTGAGGAGATCGCAGAGCTGCGCAAGATCACCCTGTGGGACATCATAGTGAACAGCACGGATGTGAAGGAGGATGAGATCCAAAAGGATGTGTTCATGTGGCGCACTGGGGATCCGTGTCCGCAGCCAATGCAGCTGAATGCCACCGAACTGGAGCCCTGCACTTACTTGGAGGGCTACGACTACTTCTCCGGCTCGGAGCTGATGTTCATCTATGTGTGCGTCTTCCTGGGATTTGTGCCCATCTTGTGCGCCGGAGCCGGTTACTGTGTGGTCAAGCTGCAGAACAGCAAGCGCCGTCGGCTGAAGATCCGCCAGGAGGCACTGCGGGCACCGCAGCACAAGGGTTCCGTGGACAAGATGCTGGCCAGGGAGTGGCTGCACGCCAACCACAAGCGACTGGTCACGGTTAAATTCGGGCCAGAGGCGGCCATCTACACGGTGGACAGGAAGGGCGAGAAGCTGCGCACCTTCAGTCTGAAGCACATCGACGTGGTCAGTGTGGAGGAGTCGGCCACGAATCACATCAAGAAGAAGCCCTATATCCTGCTGCGTGTGCCCAGCGATCATGATCTGGTGCTGGAGCTGGAATCATACGGAGCACGCAGGAAGTTTGTAAAGAAGCTGGAGGATTTCCTACTGCTCCACAAGAAGGAGATGACTTTGATGGAGGTCAACAGGGACATTATGTTGGCGCGGGCGGAGACACGGGAGCGGCGCCAAAAGCGACTGGAGTACTTCTTCCGCGAGGCTTACGCCCTGACCTTTGGCCTGAGACCCGGCGAAAGGCGAAGGCGTTCAGATGCCTCCAGTGATGGCGAGGTGATGACCGTGATGCGGACCAGTCTCTCCAAGGCGGAATTCGCCGCCGCCCTGGGCATGAAACCCAACGACATGTTTGTGCGCAAGATGTTCAACATTGTGGACAAGGATCAGGATGGCAGGATCAGCTTCCAGGAGTTCCTGGAGACCGTGGTCCTCTTCTCCCGCGGCAAAACGGACGACAAGCTCCGCATAATCTTTGACATGTGTGATAATGATCGGAATGGAGTCATCGACAAGGGCGAACTAAGCGAGATGATGCGATCGCTGGTGGAGATTGCGAGGACAACGAGCCTGGGTGACGACCAGGTCACGGAACTGATCGACGGCATGTTCCAGGACGTGGGGCTCGAGCACAAGAACCACCTGACCTACCAGGACTTCAAGCTGATGATGAAGGAGTACAAGGGTGACTTTGTGGCCATCGGGCTGGACTGTAAGGGGGCCAAGCAGAACTTCCTGGACACCTCGACGAACGTGGCTCGGATGACTTCATTCAACATCGAGCCGATGCAAGACAAGCCACGCCACTGGTTGCTGGCCAAATGGGACGCCTACATCACGTTCCTCGAGGAGAACCGGCAGAACATCTTCTACCTGTTCCTCTTCTACGTGGTCACCATAGTTCTGTTCGTTGAGCGCTTCATCCACTACTCGTTTATGGCGGAGCACACCGATCTGCGGCACATCATGGGCGTGGGCATTGCCATTACCAGGGGATCCGCCGCCTCGCTGTCCTTCTGCTACTCCCTGCTGCTGCTGACCATGTCCCGCAATCTGATCACCAAGCTGAAGGAGTTCCCCATCCAGCAGTACATACCCCTGGACTCGCACATACAGTTCCACAAGATTGCCGCCTGCACGGCACTCTTCTTTTCCGTGCTGCACACGGTGGGCCACATAGTGAACTTCTATCACGTGTCCACCCAATCGCACGAGAACCTGCGCTGCCTGACCCGCGAAGTGCACTTCGCCTCCGACTACAAGCCGGATATTACCTTCTGGCTCTTCCAGACGGTCACCGGCACCACAGGCGTCATGCTGTTCATCATCATGTGCATCATCTTCGTGTTCGCCCATCCAACGATCCGGAAGAAGGCCTACAACTTCTTCTGGAACATGCACACCCTGTACATTGGATTGTATCTTCTGAGTCTGATCCACGGATTGGCCCGACTGACCGGACCACCGCGCTTCTGGATGTTCTTCCTGGGCCCCGGAATCGTGTACACGCTGGACAAGATCGTCTCGCTGCGCACCAAGTACATGGCCCTGGACGTGATCGACACTGATCTGCTGCCCTCCGACGTGATCAAGATCAAGTTCTATCGGCCACCGAATCTGAAGTACCTTTCTGGCCAATGGGTGAGGTTGTCCTGCACCGCCTTCCGGCCGCACGAGATGCACAGCTTCACGCTGACCTCGGCGCCGCACGAGAACTTCCTCAGCTGCCACATCAAGGCGCAGGGTCCGTGGACGTGGAAGCTGCGCAACTACTTCGATCCCTGCAACTACAATCCGGAGGACCAGCCCAAGATCCGCATCGAGGGACCATTCGGTGGTGGCAACCAGGACTGGTACAAGTTCGAGGTGGCCGTGATGGTGGGCGGCGGCATCGGTGTCACCCCATACGCCTCCATTCTCAACGATCTGGTCTTCGGCACCAGTACCAATCGATACTCGGGCGTGGCCTGCAAGAAGGTCTACTTCCTGTGGATCTGTCCATCGCACAAGCACTTTGAGTGGTTCATCGACGTTCTGCGCGATGTGGAGAAGAAGGATGTGACCAACGTGCTGGAGATACACATATTCATCACGCAGTTCTTCCACAAGTTCGATCTGCGAACGACAATGCTGGTATGTGCATGCAAATGATAGTGACTTAAGTATGTACTTAAATAGTTATTCCTGCTTTCAGTACATCTGTGAGAACCACTTCCAGCGGCTGTCGAAGACCTCGATATTCACGGGTCTCAAGGCGGTGAATCACTTTGGTCGACCAGATATGTCCAGCTTCTTGAAGTTCGTGCAGAAGAAGCACTCATACGTGAGTACTTGGACTTGGTTTCACCTCTGAGGAATCACATTGATAATAATGTTTCATTGCAGGTCTCCAAGATAGGAGTCTTCTCCTGCGGTCCTCGTCCGCTGACCAAGAGCGTGATGTCTGCCTGTGATGAAGTGAACAAGACGCGCAAGTTGCCCTACTTCATTCACCACTTCGAGAACTTTGGATAGGTCTGCTCCAATCTTTCACCTGCCAGCTTCCCTGTCGCCCCCGTTCCACCTGCCTGTGTTTCCCCCTCAACGAAAGCGAATTCTATCCGTAAGATTCATTCATTAGTTCTAGCGAATTCGGCTGCTCAAACATACAACTTAAATCTTCCTTAATCGTAGGCTAATCGTATAATCATAATTTAGTCAAGTTTTGCTTAGTGCGTTAAGAAAATGTATCCCATTGTAACAAAATCACTGCAATCATAGCAAGAACAACAAAAAGGCCTCTACTTATATATGTGTATGTATGTATATGTGTATTTATTGAAAATATGATTTGTTATCAGTTTTTGTAAACCGTTCACATTATTTATTAAAAATTTTACAATTATCTTTATACGTAAAAGGCAACCTGTGTTTGTTTCGGAACTTGAGAAAGATGACAACCTCAGTTCTTATCTTGTTTAAATATATTTCAAATTTGACTTATATTGGCGCCATCAAGCAGTGGAAAGCAGTTGCGCTTTTAACACTTATTTCACTTGTCTTCATGTACCACCCCATTTTCCAGTGCGCAGGACCACAGAATAACAGCTGTTCAAGGATGTTTGACAAGAAAACAAGCAAGCCATTATAAACATTTCATATTGGCAGAAATCTTAAAAAGAAGCAGTCAATAGAAGAAAAACTATTTTAGAGCTAGCAGCAATGGAGACTATAATGCACTTTGTTTCGGAGGCCTACAATACCATGCTCACGCGGGAGCTCTTCATCAACGAATGGGCCCAAGAACGGTTCGAACTCTCTGAGTTTTCCGGCTAAACATTGTGAATTAACAGTCCATTTTGCAGTTTGAGTTTTGGAAAGCCCCTTTGGAGTTTTTTTAGCGTTCAATTGGCACCAAACAACATGTACAACTTCTTCATCCCCCTGAGTGGCATCTTCAGTCAGGAAATCCTTTTGCATCTCCTCTCGGCGATTACCCTGATCAGCACACTGAACTCCTTCGAAAAGTGGTAAGTAGTAGTAACCACACCACCTTCAAAAAAGTCATGAACTAATTGTAGTAATATCGTAATATCGTACTTATATCGTTTGTTATGTTCCGAACAGGATATGCCCGGAAACGCGTCCTTTGTGGTTTCTGCGAGAGCAGTTTGCCAATAAGAAAGTGACGAAGAATCCGAAGGTGGCCTTGGAAAGTCACCAGCTGAGCTGCGAGACGACCGGTGGCCTGCCCTGCGCCCACTCGATGACCTTCACCGTGTTCGTGCTCATCCTGGCCTCGTTCTTCTTTGTTCGCTGCTGGGATCGCTTCGTGTCCTGGCGCTCGCCCTTCTGCCGCTGCATAATGTATATGCTGATCATGGGAACAGTGGTCTGCATGTGGCTGAGTCGTCTCTACCTGGCCACCGAGTTCCTGCACCAGTGCATCCTGGGCAGCTACTTTGGGATCAGGGCACTCAACACCTTCGAGGGAAATGTGAGGTACTTGTTCTCCCGCACGCGTGGCCATGCGGTCTCAGTGGTTTGCTTCTTGGGAGGATTGGCGCTGTCGGTGTACTTTATAAAGCTGCAACTCAATGTGGATCCCCATTGGTCTGTGCGCGAGGTAAGTTACAATATCCTTTTCGAAACCTTGTCATACATAACAAAATTGCCCGCTTTCAAGGCTTTTAAGTGGTGTCCAGAGCCCGCATATCTGCGTCATGAAGCTTGTCCAATTTTCGCACTTGCCAGGGATCTGGGAAACCTAATGGGACTGGCTCTGGCTTCGCCGATATATAAGCTGTAAGTCCGAATATTATGGACAACGATCTACCGATCCACATACTGCTTCAACCTTATTCCAGGGAAGTAAAGCAATCATCATTTTGGCGGCGATGCCGATTCCTGGGAATTCTAGAGTTTGTCAACTATGGAATGCGCCTGTCCACGGTGAAGCAGTCTGGTCGCTTTGCTTTCTTGGCCTATGAGTTCACCAGAAATGCCGTGCATGCCCTACTACTGATAAAGTACCTTCCAACATTTTACTAGAATATAGGCTTTTTTCCAATTTTGTACAGATAAAGACTAAGGAAAGCGGGGTCACAGGATATTAAACTACTGGGGCAAGAGTAAAATCACATTCTTCCAAAATGTTTTATTTCATGAATACATTTAGGGCAACAAAGTACTTTTATCCGGGGCACAGCTACCTATTTTTATTTTCTGCAAGCAAGAAATCGCGGAGTTAGCAAGAAAATCAATATTAGCCCACATGTAAATGCTTACCATCAGCCTCCCGATTGGCCATCTGCAGATTGGTGTTCTTCTGCGACCGTCGCCTGTCCGACCGGAACAGGCAGTCCACGTGATCCGCCTCGAAGAAGGCGTAGACCACGCGGACATTGTTGGTGAAGCCGCCGCCATCCTTCCAGGCACTCACAATCACAATGGGATCGCCGTCCTCGATGATGGTCCACTTCTTGGCGGCGGTCATGGCGAACTGCACGCGGGCGTCCACATCGGTGGCGTAGTCCGTGCTTGGCTCCGAGGTGTACAGCAGCGGGAGGACTCCGCGATGCAGGTAGACCCAGCGGGCAGTGCGATCGCAGCGCGTTACCGCAACGATGGGACAACGGGGACGGAACTTGCTGACCAGGGTGGCCGAGCGGCCCGAGGTGGTCAGCACGATGATCAGGGTGGCGTTGGTGCGCTTGGCCGTCTCCACGGCTGCAATGGCCAGCGAGTGGGCCGCGTCCAGTTCGCCGCGCACCTCGCTGACCAGGTCGGAGAAGAGGTCCCGGAACCAGAGCACCTTCTCGGCCTCCCGGCACAATGTGTCGCAGGTGGCCACCGTCTCCTTGGGATACGACCCAATGGCCACTTCCGACGATAGCATGATGCAGTCAGCTCCGTCGATGATGGCGTTCGCCAGATCGAAGCACTCGGCGCGCGTGGGATGGGGCAGGGTGCGCATGGACTCCAGGATGTGGGAGGCCACTATGACCGGCTTGCCCGCCTTGTTGCACTGGCCCAGGATGCTCTTCTGGGTGATGAAGAGCTTTTCGATGGGTATCTGGGTGCCCAGGTCCGCTCGCGAAAGCAGCAGTCCATCCGCCGCACGCAGGATCTCCGAGAACCTGCTCAACGCTATCTTGCTGTCCATCTTGGCGATGATCTTAATGTGCTTGCCCTTCTCGCCGAGCACCGTTCGCAGCTCCTTCACGTTCTTGGCACTGCGCACCGCGGAGGCGAAGAGGAAGTCCACGTTGGCCTTAATGCTGAACTGGATGTCGAACATGTCCTTCTCGGAGACGGCAGGCAGATCGATCTCGATCTCCGGCAGAATCACGTTGCAGTTGTTGTTCAGGTGGCCGCCGTGGATGACCTCGCACAGCAGTCCATCCACTCCCACCTCCAGGATGTGGAGCAGCAGTCTGCCGTCGTCGATGAACAGGCGATCGCCCGTCTTGGTCAGGTTAATGATGTTCGGGTAGTCCACGTAGACCGCCTCCTTGTTGCCCTTGTCGTACAGATCCCTGTTGATCGAGAGCCGCAGATTGTCGCCGCTGCGCAGGAACACATCCCCATCCAGCAGGCCAGTACGGATCTGGGGTCCCCGCGTGTCCGCCGCAATGGCCACCGTACGAATCTGGCCCGTCTCCCTGTGAATCCTCTCCAGCGCCTCATTGATCAGCTCGATCGTTTTCGAGTGCATCTCGTGCGATTCGTGGGAGAAATTCAGCCGGAATATGTTCACGCCCCGCATTATCATGGTGTAAATGGTGTCCGCGTTCCGGGAACTGAGCGATATGGTCGCGATCAGGGACACCAGGCGCTGATGCGACGCCTGCTTCGAGAGGTCCAGCTCGCAGATGTGGCTCAGCTCGGTGGAGCCCTCCTTTAGCACGGATTTCGCGGACAACGACATGGTGGTGAATGAAGGATAAAAAGAAAAACTTGGAATTTTGGGCAACTACCATTAAAATCAAATACTCTGCACTTGTACAAAAATCTCTGTGACGTTTTACGAACAGGATAGTTAATACAATTTACATTTTTTCCATTCATTTATAATTTGGAGTCTTAGATCGTTTGTTCGATTGACTGGAGTCCATGGTAAAGTCCAGTTCAAGTGCAGCGCTTGCCAAACTGTAGAGTGCCCAAAAGTATGCTACACCCCATTGAGTGCAAAGCAATACAATTTTTTTGACAAAACGTAAATGCGGTTTTATATGAAGTAAAGTGCATTATGCAGTCTAATAAGTTTGCGTCCAATGCATATCATACATCTTTTAATTATGTTTTATTTTGCGGCTTTCATGTTTTCTGCTATTAGCTCGATACACGCTACTTAAACAATGAAAATCACTACTTTACGTTTAAAGATAGCTATTAAATTAATTGGAGCTATTGGCTAACTAACTACAGACGAGTACATACTTCGAGCGCTTAAGTACATTGACTTTAGCTTTAAACTACAACTAGTGGCAGCACATGCACTACAGGTAACTACGATTAAATGACAATGTGAACGCTAATGTGAATGCCTTGCGAAATGAGTTTAAATTAGTTGAAGAGAAATGTAGTTGGATGCTGGCGGAAATGGAGCGAAATGGCGTCTACGTCTAATTTGTCCGATGCGTAATTGTAACTTGGCTAATCCTAACCGCCTCTCTATCTGCAGCCACACGACTCCACCACCATGTTGGGCAGCGTCTTCACCGTGGCCGTGTTGCTCGAGTCCATCACGACCAGCTGCAGCGAGGAATACTGTTTGGCGGTGCAGCAGGGCACCAGCTCCAGCGACTTGTTGGCGCCGCTGGTGGAGAGAATTTTCTGCAGGGGAAGAGGATATGCATTAGCTTCTTCATCACCAGCCACATTTACGGGGTTACCTACCATTATGGAGCTGTGGTGGGAGGCCGCTTGCGTAACACTCGCCACCGAGCTGCAGGATCCGCGGCAGAAGTAGGCATTGTAGCCCTCCGGCTTGAGGATCCAGTTGCTCCAGCCGATGTCCCGGAACGATATGTACAGGTGCTCCCGACAGCACTCGGTCATTCCGCTGGAGCAGTTGATGCTGCGCTTCTGGCGACTCTTCCGCCGCCTGTTCTGCATGTCGATCACGATGAATGGCCGGTAGTCCTTGTCCACCGAGATGATCTCCTCCATGTCGCTGACATCGCAGCCGCCGCAGGTGATCTGGATGAGGTGGCTCAGCTCGTGGCCACTGATCCAGTGCTTGATGGGCCACTCAATGTCGATCTTCATCCACTCGTCTGCAAGTACGCGAAAGGGAAAGCAGATCAGTTAGTTTCTCCTATTCCAGATCATGCACATTTTTCAGCCAGCTTTCCTATCTGCCAACTGACCCCAGGAACTCCCAATTACGGTGGGTTGTGGCCAAGGTTCAGTTTTTGCACCCACGAATAATGTTTCTTTCAAGTTATTCACCCACATGAATTCGAGATTCGAGCAGTGCTATCACGAATCTGCGCAATGATCTGTCTAATTGAAAACACAAACAAGCGGTTGTCAACGTTGCCACTTATCGGCGTTCCTTATAATTTTTGAAACACCCATCTAGTATAGACATGTCACATATTTTGATTTGTCCCCCGAGGGTATTGGGGGTCACTTATGGCCGTTCGGCGCCTGCTGACCAAAGGTCCAAACGTGTGCGTTTCTTTTCTGGACACGATTACGCTCTGGGGGGATCGAGTGTGTATACTATACTAGGGTATACTATGTGTACCCACCTTGCACATTCACCGACTGGATGGCTATCGTCTTGGCCGCCGTCAAGTACTTGGAATCTTTTTGCTGATCCACCTCCACCTCGGACACGACGATCGTCTGCTGGGAACTGGTGCTGTTCTGCGATGGCCTGTCGGTGCGATTCTGCTTGTTCTTGAAGAGCCACAGGACGGCGGTGCTCACGTCGAAGCCCTCGGCATCTGCATCGTCTATCTTGAAGGTGAAGCACATGGACGGATTGGATTTCCCGTCCCTCGCTCGGTTGCACTCGACCTCCTCTGCAAGGATAAAGGATAAGGTTCTGTTAGCGAAATCGGAATGGGAATTGGATTCTCCTTGAAGGTAAGCAGCAATCTTTACTTTCTGTGGGTAATTGGTTATAACAGTATATTTCTGGAATTCCTTACCTCTATTGAGCAGTATGAACTTCTTGCTGGTGCGCGCGTAGTAATCGTCCAGCTCCTTGTTCTTGGTGCTGTCGTCCGGATGGGAGAGCGTCATGCCGTCGAAGATGGGCTTGGGCAACTCCACGGCCGACACCTTGGGGCTCTCCTTGAGGCGAAGCTTCTCCAGGATCTGCTGCTTCACGAACTCGATGCGCAAGTGGGTCAGCTGCTCCTCGGTGATGTGCTCCACCTGGCGGTTGCTCTCGCACTTGGGGCATCCACCGCCGCTGGACTTCACCGAAATGGTGATGTTCTTCTCACCCAGTTGCGGCTCGGGCTCTATCGGTGTTTCCGGCTTCAGATCTAGGTCCAAATCAAGATCAAGATCCTTCTGCTGCTCCTTCTGGTCCTCGGCCATCAGTTCGTTGCGCACAAAGTCCAGGGGCGACAGGTCATCGAACTGGTCATCGGCGGGAAGCGATGACTCCTCGGGTGCATCGCCGTACATGATGGGGAACTCCTCGGGAGGACTCACATGTCGGTGTGCCTTCTCCTCCTGCTCCATGAGATGTTGCCACAGGCGGGGCACCTTCAGCTGCTCCAAATGGGAGCTTGGGTGATTGTAGCTGAGCTCCTGCTGCAGCTCGCGCTCCCTCTTCTGGATGACGTGGCGCCTCAGGCGGGCGTAGTACTCCTGCTTGGTGATCGGCGCATCGTCCTCCTCGCTGGTCGGATCCGGTTCCAGGTGCTTCAGCTGGCGGGATCGTTGCTGCCGGATGTGGTGCTGCTGCTGCAGCTGCTGCAGCTGCTGCGAGGTGTGCTGCACGTGGGGAGGCGGCTGGTGCTTGGGATGCGGACGCAGGATGTCGCCGCGGGAACTCGGATGGGATCGGGCGTGCAGGCGATTGTACACGTTCCTGTTCTCCAGGGCCAGGCACACCAGCAGCACCAGGGTTATGAAGTACTTTGCCATTTCTGAATATGTAC